TTTTGATCAGAATTTGGATATGGCGTTTACATAGAATATGAAAAACGTGTTCCTATCCGTGTATGAAGTGGTGGCATGTAGATAATTAGATTTACTCAAGAACTAAGCTTAAAAGTAAACTCTAGGCACTTGTACTTTTCTTTAAAATTATGTGCAACTTCATAACTTAACTACATTTCAAAAGGAAAAATGTGTAGTTCATATGATATATTCATATTGGTTTGTATTTGTATACACAGTAAAAAAAAAAAAACATCTCCACATTTGGTAATTTTTCTGATAAACTGAATGTTAGATGTTCTTTTATGGGTTGATAAACTTGGCTTACTTTTTCAGATATATAAACTATTAAAAAGAAATGTACTATTCAGAAAGGGGGAAAAATACACATACATATTTGACTGTAGTTTTAATGCATGAACACTGCTGCTACTGAAACAACATCATTTCCCAATTTGGGATCAATAAAGTACCTTTCTATCCATAATATAGTAATGGATTATAATTGCATTACTTTTAAAGATAGTAATTTCTATATAGCAGTATGATGCTGAAGAATGAATAGAAAGGTATAGAAGAAAAAAAATGTTGCCCCAAAATACCTGAAAGTATTACAAAATATTAGCACGTTCAGAAACTCTCCCAGTAGAACTCATGTGATACAGCATAGTTTTCCTCATCAAAAGAGACACCAAACACTGGATCAATCATTATTTAATTTATTTGTTGAATTACAATGGTTAAAGTTCGTGGTCTTCTGGGTGGTAAAGTTCGCTCATCAGACGGTAGATGTACGACGGTGCATGTCCTCCGATGTTAGAGATGAACAGTGTGATGAGTTCAGGGGGGACATAGTCAAAGACCGGACAGTGCACGTTCACCTTTGAGAGAATCTCACCTGAAATACAAATTGTAAAATGTGAGTTCCCCAGAAAATGTACTAAAAGAGGCACATACATTTTCAAAGTTTCAAAGTTTATTTTCTAGAAGTGAATAGTTCGTTGACTGTTAATAAGCACTTTGTAAGGAATGTCAGTTACCTTCAGTGAAAGGAAGCACTTCATGTGGAGAGACAAACTTATGGAAGGTATCTTCTTCATTCGGGAACTAAGGACACAAAATAGTTTTATCGTCATTTTGCTGTCAGCAGAAATTACAATAATCTGTCAAACTAGAGAGTGTTCTTACTTGAGGCGAGAGCTTGAACATGGGAGCACAAACAATCAGCGGTGTGGAGTGGTGCTTGGCGGCGAGGGCCAGAGTGTGCGTCCCGTTGACGGCCCTCAGACCTCCGTTGGCCAGAACTGTCTGCGTCCCGATGATCACCTGTAAGCAGATTTCCACGCAGGTTAAACCGCGTGCTCCGACATGACTGTTTTAAAGCCTTCTTTGGTGTTAAATACCTTATTAACTCGAGACATGACTGCAAATATGGCAGCGTCTGCGATGACGGTTGTTTCAATTTCTGCTTTTGAGAGACTGGTTGCCATCTCATGACCCTGAAGAGGAGAACAAATCAGATCATGTAATCATTAATCTCAAAAACACTATTTGTTATTGTTTTTACTAGCTAAACGAAATCTCTTGAGTTTCAAACCTGGCAGAACGGGGCGCACTCTGCCACAATGACGTGGAACTTGCGTTTGCGTGCAGCGTCCTTCAGGAAGGCCTCTACGGTGCGAGAGCGGCCGATGGTCATGATGACCTCGTTAGAGTGGATGTGCTCCAGGGCCTGCATCGAAATGTTGTCAGTGGTTCCCTCTGAAAAGCAAAGTGGTGAAGGGAGAAGCAGCAAAACGTTTTATCCTCACAGAATTAACACAGACATCACATCAATTGTATGAAAACCAGCTGACGGATAATGACCTGATTTAAAAAATAATAATAACATACCCAGCTCGGTCAGCAGCTCATTGATGGCCTCGATGACGTTTGCTTTCAGAGCGGAGAAATGCTGCCCGAAGTTCTCCTCGCTGAGTTCTCCAGACGTCAGCAGCTTGTGGAGAGATTCCTGCTGGTCCGTTTCTTCACTGCTGCCTCGAGATCTGCAAGAAATTATCAAATAAAATAAAAAAAATCTTATATCTCTTGTACTCTTTCAACATTAATTTCCTTTTATTTGATAAATATCTTCTTGTGAAAATTATAATGTCATAGAGGCCAAACAACTTGTGTTAAAATTCATATCACAAACAAGAAGAAACCATAATAAAAGCAAAAATGTCCGATCAAATATAATGGGCATCACTTTGAATATAACTTATCAGCATCTACTCACATGATTCTTGAGTGTAGGTGCCTCTTATGTGCAATCAACTCAGATATATATATTATAATATAGGGAGTGTGTATAACCAATGGCTTTAATCTTTAACCTCTCCAGCCCAGTGACTTTAACAACCGTCCTAGTGTTTAATCCTCACCGGGCATATTCCTCTCTGATGATCTTTAACACCCGTCTGATCATGTTTCCAACAGTGGTCTCTGAAGGCTGGGCGGCAATCATTCTCCTCCCCTCTTTACGGAGTATTTCCATCAGATCACCTGAAACCAAGTTCATTAGTTTGGAAAAATGTATTCCGAAATGTTAAAACTTCTGAGGATTCAACTATTATAGATGACAGTATTAGTATCCATCATTGTTTACTCTTATGAGAAGGAAGTGTGGCCAACCCCATCTTTCTTTTTTAAATTTACAAAGTTACACCTAATTACCTACTATTATATTTATCATTGCCTTTAAAAAGGTCCCCTATTATGCTGTTTTTCATCAATATATTATAGGTCTAAGATATACAAACATGTCTCTGAAGTGTTTGGCTCGAAATACCAAACAGATTATGCATTTTAGCAATCCCCTGTTTAAAAAATGCTGATTCTGTCTGTTACTTTAGATGAAAATAAGGAGCCACTCCCCACGCCCATCTGAGAGATATTTGGTTAAAAATAACACAATGGTGCTCTAGGAGGAGATTCAGGTGATAAGGTGTGTGGGGGGGGGGGGTTTACATTGGTTGGTTATTGGCTAATGGTTACACAAGCCAAAAAAACATTATGACATCATAAAGTGGCCAAAATCCGATCAGCTCATTTTCAGACAGGATTTTTTTTTCAGAAGCTTTTTTCTTGAAACTTTCAGATTCTATTTACACAGAGGGGACACATTTTTATGTATAAAAGACATGAAAAAGTGGATTTTGTCCAATAGTTGACCTTTAAGAATTAGAAATACTGGATACATACTTGTTAACATCGTTTGGTTATCAAATTATCTAGATCTATATATCTATCTCTGAAAATATAGGTAACTACGTCTATTTGCTCGCTCAGCAGTTAATTGACAAACTCCTTCCCTTGAACAACAACTACATATTGTACTATATACTATTGAACTCACGAGAAGTTACTATAAAATAAGTAACCACATTCTTGACAGCTGTTGTCGTCGTCACAACAGGTTTGACAGAAGTCCTCACTGTTCAGCTACGACAGCAGCAACTACGTTAGCTAGCTGTAATGTTGAGTTAAACAGTGAATCAACAAAGGGAGTAGCATTGATCACCTGCGCTGTTCCACCGAGGCTGGGCTGTGATTCTGCGGAGCAGGGACGTCGTTTCTCGGGCTGTCTCGGCCGAGCCCCGCAGCGGTCCTGTCCCGCAGCCTCCACGCTTCAGGTCGGACAGAAACGCTTCAATTCTCTCCGTCAGGTCTATTTCTTTGTCTGGGCCCGGCATAGTTGATATATAAAGGACTTGCTGTCAGTCTAAAGCCTCGACAACTGAAGTATTTCTACCATGCAATGTTTTGACCGTGAGGAAGTACTTTCGGAGTACATCCGGGTTACTACAACTGCGCTTTCATCTGATTGGTGGACTGATGCACGCATCAATTCTATGCTGTGTTAGCAAACAAGACACCCTGAACAGTGTTTAATGAAGTATTTGGGACTACCTTCGCTACAGTTAAATGTCAATACAATTATATTGTTGGTGTGAGTTTAATTGTTCGTGTTTTTGGATGTCTGACGAGGCCAGGCTAAACAAAACAAGCAGAGAATATAATGAGAGCCAAACACCGTTGTAACATCAAATTCTGTAACTTCTTTATTTTTCTCTTTTGAAATAGATGCGAAGGAAAGGAAAAGCATTGACGCATTTAATTTAACTAATCGAAACACATTTTAAAATTGTCCAAGAGTATTTTTAGATGTTTAGATATTTCAGTTTCATGAGTTTAGTTTAGTGCTATGATGACGTATTGGTTATGTTTATAAATGAAGTCTGGTTGAGTTGTCTTCAGGGGCCCTTACCACCTATAATCCAGTTGTTTTGTGTGTATTAATATGTCTCTAACTTTCAGATTTATCTACTTGTGTCGAAAAGGGTAAGTGTGGGAAACTATTGACACGAAGGGCTGTGGTGGATGTTATAAACAGATAACTCATTGTAGGATTAAGGCAGAGTTGTTGTAACAGGTTAGGTAATTGAAGTCTATAATTTCCCTCAATCAAACAACTTCATGGTTTGCCAAACCAAATATTTGCTGGCAAATTGAGAAAGTAATGAGTCATTCATTTTTGGATTTCAGGCTTACCCATCCTTAAACCTAACCCAATGTTGCAATGTTCCTCTGAGGGTTCATCTTGAGACATCCTTTGATCTAAATTGATGGGAAATAAAACACATTGGTCTATACCCAAATGTGTATTTGGTCCCTAGTTACTTTTCTGACCGACAACATGGATAGCTCTTATTTAATTCTTAAGTATATATCAATGGACCACTTAGACGCATCAGAGTAAGAAAATAAGCTTACTCACAATGTATTGTGGAGCTGTGATAAAACATGAGCAACAATGAGCAGCACCATCACATAATTGTATTAAACACTGTCTTAATGTATTTTATTAATATTATGAATATTTTAAACTTGAATTCACAATAGTGCTATATTACAGCCTATGTTTGTTGTGGGATAAACAAGTTAGACCACACCATTACTAATGTAAATCCATCCAATATTTTATTGAGTAAAAGCCCAACACAAATTTACAAAATGTATCAGTCAACATAAAAATCATTGATTGCGCACAATGCGCATGTTCATTGTTAAAAATGTTCCCATGACAGATGCCTCGATTAATCCCTTTCTAAAACAATCTGAATATTTGCAACCACCCACCTTCTCATGTAACCCAAACCTCAAAAGTATTCTAAAGAAAAGAAGCACGCTGGATGGATCGCCACTGTAATTAGGATGTGATATTTAAAAAAATGCTAGATAATTAAATATACAAGTGTGTAAATAAAAAGGGGCGCACGACTGAAAGGGAATTTCATAAAGTGTTTGGATTGCCTTCTTCACATTTCCTGTCAAAAGCTTTATTTCTGATCCGACAAAAGAAACTTGCACAACTATATATGATTTGAATCATAAAAGTCAGGTGATTAAATTACTTATAGCCATGCAAACAGTATAATGCTGCAACCTCATCCTAAGGACAAGGTGTTATACTTTTGATCGATGACAAATTAATGATCAGGTGTTTCAAAAACAAAACTATAACGTGCATGAGATCATAGAAGTGACCTAATTCATAAATGAGAATATTGCTGACAACTCAAAATCCCCCCCTCTCCCAAAATATACCTGTAGAAGCAACTAAGTAGCATTTACAATATGAAAACAAACTAAAGACACGGTTAAATTTAGCTACCAAACAAGTATGCAAATTAGGTGACATAACACAGAAGTTCAGTTGTTGCTAATTTTCTCAACAAAGTAACAAACCACTTTTTCAAATAGCCTTCACTTGATAAAAGGGCAGCAAGGATGTAGTTTGCTTGGCATGGCAAAGAATGTGAATATTAACAGAAGGGCAAAAGACATTCACTCATGGCACATCCATTCAACTGAGCTCAAAATCAAACACAACTGTTCAACTGGTGGTTGAAGGAACAAGTTCTTATTCAGTAGACTGCAACATTCAAAACAGTGCAGACAGAAAAGTGAAGTACCATGAGATGGATGCATCACACTAGTGCAGTGACATACGCCTGCCTGGTCTCACAGTGCATTTCTCCCTACAGCGCTTTTCATGTTTCAAAACACTAAATAAGCAGGTGATTTATTTTTTTCAGAGGACAACCTTGGTTTCTTTTACAGACCTTGAAACTAGAATTTGAGCCCCTCAACCCCACTCGCTGTTGTTTGCTGAAGCTAGTCCAAGGAGGGTGGATGTTGGGATGTGTTGACTGACTGGCAGGCAGCTTCCCGCGGTGTAAGGAGCCACGAGCCGCTTTACTCGATCAGCTTCTTTGCCTTGAAGAAGCGCCGCAAGTAGAAGACCTGCCATGTAGCCAGGCCAATGAGACAACACATGGAGAATATGCTGAAGTACAGCACACGCGTGTTGGTGGACTCTAGAGATGGGGGGGGGGAATGATAGGTAACAGTATTACTGATCGAGGACATAAACATTGAATTTAAGTTTCATTCCCTAAAACCTGATACTTGTCAACACTGGACAGACACTTTGTTTTTATTAATCTTATATTTCGCTACTACTAATTCACGATTTAAGCTGCATGTTAAATACTAGTAATATGGGAAAAGCATTTTCAAACTGCAAGACTGTCAACCATAAACTCTGACATGCTAGAAATCATTGTCAAAGGAAAAAAATGTAGGCGCTGTGACCCCTCTTGAATTGTACATCAAACAACAACCATCAATAGGGCAGGAATGTACAGGTAGCTTTGGGCAAGCACAACAGGATAAAAATCTGTCCGATTTAAGGAAACTAAAAACACATGCAAGGAAGATTTGTAAGTACTTGCTAAGCTCCAACTTCATGAATTGCATTGTTTTGTTACCATTGGTGTCCCGCATCTCCTCCTCTCTCTTCTTCATGTAAGCAAAGTCATTGACGATGGACTCCGACAGGTCCTCCAGTCGCCTCAGCTCCACCTCGAGAGGCTTCAGCTTCTCCACCTTGGCAATCTGGATCGACAAAACAGAAGTTCACAAATTCAGCAAAGTGATGGCAGAGATGTCAATGGTTAAAACGTTTAAGCAGTGCCATTATATACTTTGTCCAGCAGGGGTCGGTCTTGGGCTTTGTATTCAACTCAATTGTACTGACACATATTGCACATCAAAAATGTGCCTCTAGGGAGTGTACACACCTCGGGGTGTTAAAACAAACTTTGTTTTGCTATTTGCTCCCATTTATTTACACTGGAGAGAAGGCTGCCTTTTAACTCTGGTGTGAACTGAACAGCTGCACCCACTGAGAAGGTGGAGCAGAGAACAGACCAACCACAGCATTATGAGATGCTGCTGGACGTGTACAAATTAAACTGTGAATGTGAACTAACTTTTAGGCTAGTTGTGGCAAATATTTTCCCTCTAGAATGAACTTTTCATCTGTGAAGTGTTGACAATGCAGGACAGGTTACAAAACCTGTTCAGTGACTAGTTTACCTTTCAGTCCATGTGACTTATGTCAACTTGTGACATTTTTGTGTGCGAAGCGTAAAACTAAAAACAGAAACACCACATTGGTCTCTCTCTTCCCTGGACTAAATTGACCTTACTCTAGCCTTGAATTGTGCAATAGCAACAGACATGGACATTTTCCAATTATTGAATTTGCAAAGGGAAATGTGCCTGATGTGGAGCATGCATCTGCAATGAACACATGCCAAAACATTGTGTGACAGACAGGAACTCTTTCAGGAAATGTACTAAATACCAAGATAACGTGTACCGGCCAGTTTGCAAATGTGCTCAAAAGTAACACACCCTCCTACGTAGGAGAATACAATCTCAGCTCCACCCTCTTGCCCACAGACAGGAAAGCCCACTTGAGCTTTCCCTGAACATCCTCCTCCTACACACTTGCTCAGCGAGTGTGAAAGAACATCATTAGTGCACCATGTGTGGGAAGGGAGGCAATTCTTAGCAAACAGTGCTTTTCATCACTTCTCTGCTTATTAAGTATTGCCTAGACAGCCACAGTGGAAAGTGAAATCTATTCTCTGAAGAAATGATGATGCACCACAGTTGTGCCTATTTAGGAAAATATGAAATAATTTTTGAGGCAAAGAACCTCCTTCACTGATGTTCCTTTTTATACACACAGGGATTTCTTGATGTCATTATCATGTTTTGAGAATAGACGCATGCCAATGCCACTAACGCAGCCCTAGGCACCCACATTGCTGCCGTCAGCCACAAGTATTTAATGTGGCCAAAAGGTACCGGAGAAGAATGTTCTTGTTTACAATCGTCAACTTGATTTATTAATCTCATTAAGTCTTTCCATAGTTTGATGTTGTGCCACAACAAGGAAACAGTGAAGGGATTGTATGTCTCTCGCATCTCTTCAACGGGAATTTATTTAGTTTGTAATGATAGTTTGATGAATGACTGCCTCTATCCTGACGAGGGATGGAGGCAGCAAATGTAACCAAGTGGTTGAGTCAGAAATGTTTGTATTTAGAACATTTGGGTGCATTCTCACACAGGCTCATAACATATGGCCATTGGTTTAAATGAACCTCTAGCTTATTCGTTTTTCAAACCTGAATGTGTAGTGAAACCTAGGTTGCGATTGAAATTACTTTTATGCTTAGGAAGGTTCTAACCGTGTGAAATGAGCCAGAAATGTTAAGTCGAGGCCAGGAAAAGAGCAGGTCGAATTCTCTAAATGCTAAGTAAATGTGCTTCAATGCCTTGTGCCTTCTAGACCAGCCTTAACTAATAGAAAAACGATAATGCTGTCCCACAGTTCCTAGCGACCGCACACTTTAGGGGTGTGATTGTATATTGGTTAGGAATCCTTACTAGAATTGTACGCCATTGAGTGTGTCAAGGTATCTATTTTGTATGCATTATAATCAAGTTGCTCTAAAAATGAAAAGCAGTTGCATAATTTAAGTGCAGTCGTATTAGCATAACAATATGGTTGGCTTCTTCTTATTCTTTATGAATTGTCACTCTCCAATCCTAATGTTTTTGACATCAAGGTCAAGGAAAAGCATTATATTATTATATTTGACTATTCTACCACAGTCCAGTAGCTGCAGACAGAACGTCTTTGTCTGCAGTGTTTGATTTATACAAACAAAAGCAAGCAAATTGTTTTGAATCCAACGCTTACCTCTTCATAGTTTTTGGCTTCCACACCATGCTTCATGTCCAGATTGACCAGCTGGTCAGGCACTCTTCCAGTCCCTGATTAAAAGAGCAGACATTTTAGCATATCATGCAATTAATTTGTGAAGAACATTTAAATTGCAAAGATGTTCTACCTTTCCTATGCAGATGTAAATCATACATAAAACATGCAAACATTTTTGAATTTCTATAAAATCTTTCCTTATGACCACAACAGAAATATCACCTAAGGGTTACATGTCACTGTATGTGTTGTTAGCAGTTGTAGAATGTATATCTATTATTGAAAGAATAATGTCATTGCATTTGTTCATAAATGTAGTGCACAGAAAAGCATCCTGGTTTTCACGGTTAACACACTTACCCATGGGTGACTTGCTCTCAAAGCACACTTCAAACATGTCATAGTCCTCTGTGGTGAATGCAAACTTTCCTTTGATTGCATCTTCCTTGGAGTAAAGAGTGTGGCTGGAGGAATCTGTGATCTAGAAAGAAAGGCAAAATATGTACATTAATAAACTTCATCGCTGAAATCAATTCATATAAAATAAATCCTCCATCAAAAAACGCGAGGTCAATTATACTCTGGTTACAGCATTTGAAAACTGGGGATTTACTGATATTAATTTTATATAAGGTGAGGTGATGGTATAAAAAAATCAATTTAAGGATTTCCTCTTCAATTCTTTGAAATTATATTGGGCATTTTGTTACATTTAGATTAAACTATTTACAAAAATTGTAAACAAATATAACTGACTTGCAGCCAAAATAAGCGGCATGAAACTATTGTCAAACTGAATACCGGAAAACCCAGAAATTATGGTTTACATTTCACAGCTGTTAGAACATGGGAGTCTATTTTATAGAACTACATCAGAAATGTTTGTACGATGATTTAACGGGTTCATAATGAAGTGAGGACAGATTCACTTGTATAATAAATGGAAGAAATCTTGAGACCTAAGCATTTAAATGGATAAATAAGAGTCTATTCAGGCTGTCATTGTAACTGAGGTGGCTAATGTGCTAATGCTAGCTTGTGACTGCATTAGCTGAATGGCCAGTAAGACTGACGTGTAACAGCAGCAGAGACAGTGACGGGAATACTTCACATGATAAAACACAAAATAACTGTCACATTTACACCTACAATGTGTGATAAAGAGGACGTTAATTGGCGCCAGAGTAAATTGAGTTTATGTCAGGATGAATTCTTAAAGGATAAGGTTGGCAAGCCCTGACGTTAGCTAGCTTACTAGCAGCTAAAACCAGGAAGACGTGTTTTTCGGGGCCTTGGTTAGCTACAATGCTAACAACAGTTGCACACACTTCATCCGACCCCTATCGACAGTTAAGACTATATTAACAACATATATGGATAGTACTTGTAACTACTAGCGTGATAAAACATAGACTTTAACACACTGGCGTCATTTCGGCCTCAGCACAGGCTGGTTACGTTGACTGGAGCTAGCCGCAGGTCTGTGCTTACCTTCAGATTAGTTTTGGTGTTCGCCTGTTCGCTTATTTCATACTCCCCCGTGACGAGGACGTCTTTGTGGATCTCCTCCCGTAAACACTTTCTCGAGTTGACCGGTAAAAAGAAAGAAATTGAGAATACCGATTCAATAAGAACCGGTAACAACAGCAGCGCAGCAAGTCGAACCATGGCTACCCCTCAACCAACCGACCGACCAACCAGCCCGTGCCAGCCAAACAGTTTAACGCCGAGTTCCAGCTCACACAGCCGGCCGGATGGAGCTCTGCAGCGCCGCCACTGACCCGGAGGAAGAACTACCGTCTTTAACTAACGACTCTCCTAGGTTACAGTGAGATCACACAGAGTAAGACCAATGCATTGTATGGACAGTTGTAGTCCAGCAGCCTCACATGTTAGTGATTTTAAACATTATTACAAATATCAAAACATAATTAAATTGGTAAGGTTTGAAAAAATATCCAGTACATTAACTCATTGCTATTGTGGCCTACTTAAGTACACTTTTGCTGTAGGCTACTTGCACCTCTTTTGGATACTTCCATTGTATGCTACTTATATATTCAGTGATGTAAAGTAACTAATTACATAATTTACTCAAGTACTGTCCTACTTATGTACAATTTTGAGGGACTCATACTTGCACTTTAATTGAGTTACTCAGGTCAGTTTAAAAAAAAAAAAATGAAATTGGCAACGTTTGAAAAGAAAGCTCCAGCACATTTTCTCAAGTAGTCATGTGCTATTGTGGCCTACTTAATTAGGCAGTACGATACTTGCACTTCTTTTGAGTACTTACATTGTATGCTACTTCATTAATAGTAAAGGCTATTTTTAAATTCACCTCATTTAGATATATTATAAATGAAGTAATGAAACGTAGCCTGTCCTTTAGCCCGTCGAGCTGCAAAACTAGTGATGAACACATTTATTAATCACTCATTACAATTGTGTAATATAGCCGAATATACAGTATATGACTTTGACAAGGGGCATTCTTCAAAATTAGTACATTGTACTTTAATTGAATCCTTACACTTTATATTTGTTATACTTTGTACTACGATTTGAATACAGGGCTGTAACTTGTAACAATAAAACTTCCACTTAAGTTAAATATCTGAAGCTCTTTTTGACCTTTCAATCCCATCTCAATGTTTTCATCAGTAAAGATGGCTCCAGTGTTATCTCATGATGCCACATTAAACAAGTGGTCTTATGTGGCAGAGTTTGGAGGGAGGGATGATCTTTGGCTACTCTTTTATGTTAGTGTGGGGGGCCCACCTGAACAGAGGACAACATCTTGTCAAGGAGGAAGTTATCGACAAAAAAAGGTGTACACAGAAGGTACAAATATGTTCCACCATTATAGAAATATATTTACTAAAAAACACTTTGAGACAACCACAGGATTTTAGAAGATTGAGCCCCCTAGTGGGTCACAAAAGGCCATATTCCTTAGAATAATTAAATGTGGGAAGACATGTACGGACATGTTAAGTTGATAGTTAAAGTAGTGAAAACCACTGTATGTTTCGGGGCTTTTACTTATTTGAAGAAAATAATAATCTTAAAAAAGTCTGTTCATGTTTTACTCCAATCAACATGAGATTTAGTCAAAATTAAGTGTGAACCTGTTTTTCAATAATGTCTAAACGACCATGCTGATGCTGAATGAGCAATAAGTGATATACTTCTGTTATTGTACACATTTTAAACCTGCTCCCATAGAGAGATATACATACTGGAGTATTAAGATTAGAAATCGTATATTCATTTTGTTGGCTTTGTCCTCTAAATATTCACCATATGCCTATTGTTATTTACAGACTTTCACTGCTCATAAATGTCTTTAACATTAAAGCAATTACAGAATAATACATACTACATGTATTATGGTGAATCTTAAGTTAGAAAGAAACAGACATATCATGCTCGTTGTTGGCTGGGGTAGTTAAAAAAATCCCAAAAGCTATTGTTTTTCTGTCAGAAGCTCAGGGATGACCCAATTACATAATAGAGCTGTCCAGTTTCCAGGGAAACATCCTTGTTACTGATTCCACGAGACGAGACGCGGACACGCTGCTGTGTGTGTGGAGTCTGGCACCAAGTGAACAGAAATTGTTGGATAGAGAAATCCCTCCAGTATTGTAGCTTAGTGCGTCAAATAACTGCTAAGAATAGCACGTCACACACTCCTCCATGCAACGGTGCTTTTAGGCTACAAATTAAAGTTTCATATGTGACTACTTTTACACTTTAACATCTCCTAGCACTTTCAGTGATTTTCAATCCTAAAGTATGTTCTGAGAAAAATGTATCATGGACTAAAAATGTCTAGGGGTGAGGTTTAGTTTTATGGAAGGATACGTCAATGCTTTTACTATCTATTGACTAACCGCTTATCACCTCTGGGCACTGGTTCAGAATTGCATGTCATAATGAAAGTCCTTCTTCACAGAGAAACACTTCCTTAAATCTGCATGCATGCTGACGCAAGTGTCACACCATTTAATCAATTACTCACTATGCAAACACAAATCAGGCCATACACTGATAAGAACAAAGAATCCAAACTAAATTCAAACCTAAACCTGACTGGTCATGCATGAACACACAGATTGTGCTGTTTACATTTTATATTAAGGACTATCAGCAGGGTGTCAGATGGGTTAGTCTCACTCTGTTGAAAGTAAAACAAATACAGTTAGGTCAGGGGCAGGGGTCATGTTCCTAAGTGTATGTGTAGTTTGGTGTCATTTGAATGTCATCTAGACAGACTTTTAGCCACAGGGGGAAGACGCTTATGTATTTGTGGTTTTGTAAGCTTTCATATCCTCTCTGGATAAAAGAAATGCATCAGAGGATGGGTTTCTGTGAATATGGAGCTGAGCCAGCTCTTGTCGTTGTTGCAGGCGAGCTCGGCTGTACGCTGCTTTGCTCACATTCACACCCAGGCAGGGATCTGTGTCTGTCTCCCTCCCTGCTATCCTCGTGTACTCATCATATTCATCTCTCCTCCTCATCCCCTCTCCTCACACTTACTTCCCCTCCTCTCTTTCTATCATGCTTACGCTGCCTGGTTCCTCCCCTGGGTTGCAGCACCGACGTAGGTTGGCGTCATAGTGGTCTAATTTTACTGCTGTTGATGCTGATGTTAAAAGAAGCAATAGGCACCTGCTATTTCTGCTGCTACCCTTCTCCCTGGGGTTGGCAAAGAGGTATTAATAGACAGAGTTATTAGGGGCTGCATCGTCGCACATAGAGGCTTTATTGAGGAAAAGGGGCTCTGCTTTTGTGCTAAGGAAAACAGAAAAGTTCTCAGAATGAGCTGTTACACAACAGCACAATGCTAACAAAACAAGAAGCTTTGTAGAAAGCACAGTTTCAATCCAAATTTGTTGTGCAAGCAAGAATTAAGGAAGTATCATTGTCCTTTTTCAACATTAAATGATATGTATTTTCATTTGGTGATGTTGTACTTTTGTGGAGCAGGCATGTATTGCATAAAAAAGGTGTGTCCGCACTTGAAGGCCACAAACGTCAGAGTGCGTAAGTTATTGTGCTGATAGTCTCTCTCCCCGACATGTGCCTTACGTTCACACACCACGCACTTCCTGTGAAAAGACATTAGGCAATCTGCGTTCTGATGAGTTTACACATGGTGAAATATTGATTAAAGTTGAAATGAACAAGTTGGGTGGCAGAAGGACAATTACAAGGGAGTGGAGGGAATGGTTTGATGACCCAACTGCATAACAATTATCATGGAATTAAAAGATCACCTGAAGTTACCGATTGCGTCACTACAACTAACCTCTGGTTTAATTGGAAATTTAATTCTTTACAGACTGTTTTGTTTGGGGTAATTTAATGTCTTCCAGTTTCTTAATTGTTCTTTTAACCACAATTTTCTATTTAGAAATGATAGAGAAAAGATACCAAACTGATTAATTTAACTTAACCAAATGTTTTAAGTTGAACTACTTCTGTAAAAAGTTTCTATGCAGCCTACCTATTGCATTTCTTGAGTCCATCTTGAGTTTCTGGGAATACAATGCTTCATTATCATTATGCAGAACATCAGTGCATTAACAACACATGGGCAGAAAATATTATCATTCATGGCACCTCAGTATTCATTTTGGCCAAGATGTGCTTCCATGGCTCCATTTAGAGTCTGGTGGGAATGAAGAGTTAAGACAGGCTGAATAAAGCACCACTTTGAGCAGACAGATACTTGAACCTAATGTCCAGCTGTCTGCATGCCCCAGTCCATTTTCAAAACACAACTGAAATAAATTCACACAATTATTCCTGGGGACTCTTTTCTTGCATTGTGCTATAACTCACAATGTGCGTCTTTCACTGTGGGATTTGATATTTTTGCAATAATCGGAGATCACAGCATACAGGGATCTACCGACGCAGATCGTGGTTGAGACGTTGCTTTCGATCTCTTGCGAAGTGTGTTGTATAACCAGTTGTCATCGAACACGACTGAATACATTTAGATTAGGGAAGCATCGCCTCATCGGTTTTTGCTCGTTCCCCTATTCCGAAAATCAAATGCAATTTATCTTTAGAGAGAAACCCAGAGACGGGTAACTAAGTGTTTTAGTGGAAAAAGCCCGTCTGCAGTCTCCTTGCAGACAGCAACAGCGAGTCTTCGTGTTGTGCTATATTTGGGCACGGAAGTAAAACGTCATCGCGCTTGCAAATAAAAAAAATGGAAAAAAACGCAGTGACGTAGGCGCCCTGACGTATAGTTAACCTTGGCAACAGACGGAACAATAAATAGAGCCAGTGGAGCTGCAGGAAAAATACTGCTATCCCTTATGGAGGCTAAAATTAGAAATTATTTTAATTATGTGCTGAATTCCAGTGTTAATGTATCTCAATCCAAGGGAAATGTTAATGTATGTGTGTGCATATAATAAGAAGTGTGACAAGCAGATAGTTGAATTTAAATATCACTATTTTTTATTTACATACTTTAAAAACAACATTCATCTTTACTCTCTCTGTAAAAAAATAAATTGAAATTTCATAAATTATAACCACTAATGTTTTCACAGAAAACTTCAAGATAGACCACTCAGACTATCATGGATGGACAACAAGCACGTCAGTTTTTAAGTTTTTCACAGACAGTTCACATTACTCTCACATTCCATCAACCAGAAATAAACTGGATCAATAATAACTATTGCTCTGAAAACACATCAACACTACAACAAGTTTTGTTATCTATAGCACCATAAAATCATATATGAACTCATAAAACGACTAGGTGATATAAGTTGAAACATGCTTTTTAACTTGCTACATTGTTGTTATACGCAAGTATAGATAAAGGCAAATAAATTCATAAATAATTTGCTTCCTGGTTAAGTCTGTTCCATAGCCCTGGGATCTGTACATCTCATAATTCAAGAAGATGTGCTCGATAGGAAGTACGATTGTCTTTAGTGGAAGAGTCTTTAAAGGGCCAGCAGTGTTGGGGAGCTGAGGGAATCGGAGGACTGGTCGTTGCTGTTGCTTCCTCTCCTGTGGGCAACGCCACAAGTGGGGAAGGTCTCCGCCTCTGGGAAAGTGAAGACAAAAGAAGAAGTGTAGGTGGTGCAGGCCGGAGTGCAGGTCACCACAGGCGTGCAAAGAGACTCAAAGTCACTGCTGTTGGCTGAGGCGTGAAGGGGCTCCCAGTCCTGAGTTGTGTAAAGGGAGTTGGACAGGTCGACCTCTGGCACTGACCGCGCCGTCTCCATCTCTGTCTTCGCCAGCAGATCCAGAGACTCCTCCAGGACTGAGGAGTCCAGGTCTGTCATCTTGACCGCACTGCTGGAGATGGTGGAAGTGGAGAGGATGGAGCTGCTGGAGAAGATGGAGTTACAGGTGGAGGTGGAGGTGAAGTTGGGCTGGCTGGAAGTGATAGTGTTTGCTTTTGGGATGGTGATTGGCTGGGAGGACACTGTGGTGGACAGGAAGGGATGAGCAGGAGTAATGGAGACCATGTTGAAGTCTGACTCCAGGTCTGAGGGGATTTTGCAGATGGGTTGATGGGCAGCCAGAATGAACTCAAGCCTTTCCTTCTCCTTCATAAGATTAGCAATATCATTCTGCAGGAGGGATTTCTCATCCTCAAGCTCATCAGTTTCCTGCAAAGGAGAGAGAAATAGAGGAATTAGCTTCACTGCTGGTTTACACTGCTATAAGCATAGACAAGAAATACATTTTGAAGAATGATGGTAAACCGATGGTAAATCTATGGCAAACTTACAGTTTGCAGTGTGTCTGTAAGCTCTCTCCTCCTGTTGCGGCATTTAGCTGCTGCCTGCTTATTTCTCTCTCTGCGAACTCTCTTCTTCTCATCCTCCTCAGGGTTCACCTGCACAGAACACAAGAAAAAAGTTAAGTCTCCAGCTCGTGATAATCAATACAGTGTCACATAGAAGTTGCCACATGTTATGTAAAACGTGATGGTCAGATGGTAATTACCTGTTCCATTCTTCTCTTGTTAGAGGTATGAGTCCTGGAAGCAGACCTCATGCCTGGTCTGGTGTATGCAGGGCTGGGTCTGCTGCTGTAGAGGGGGGGTCTGTGAGAAGGGGCCACTGAGGAGATCAAAGGCTGGACCATCCACTGCAGATCCTGGCTTGTCGAAATAGCTGTGACGGTGGGGATGAAGGAGGCACTTGATGCTGTCAAGTCAGTGAAATCCTGTAGGCAATGAGAAAGAAGATCATGAGTACATCTGATATAATGTCAGGAGGAGGGATACAGCGTTGCAGGATTGTCTATAAAAAGCTGTGTGGTTTAAAAATATCCATATGATGTCAACCATGACGTTACACTCTCCCTATGGGGTTTCCAGGTGGATGAATGAAACCCATCTTGCACTGTGTGCAGTGCAGGTCAATGGGCTATTTCAAGCACAACGTCATTGGCTATCTTCATTTTTAAATAGGCTTGTGTTCATTAGGTTAAACTTACAGCTTTATGAGAATAATGTAGTGAACTATGATGAGTTTTATTTGTCTAACTTGCATGCAAACAAATAGGCTACATTGTAATAAAAGTTGAATAAACATGAACTGGACATACCTGAGACTGGGGAGATCCCATGCTGGAGTAAGATCCTGCCGGGGAGGGATAATATCCCACGGTGTCCCCGGATGGGGAAGCGGTGCTGCAGCGGGAGGAGGAATCGCACTCCGTGTTGAAAGTGGTAAACATCATCTTTCCCAAAAAAAACAAGTAGGAAGATCCAAACAAATGTGAACTTGAGTTGAGGAAATCCCTGTGTAGGTTTGAGAAAAACTCTTCACTTGATGCTCCTGATATGTATTGCTCCTCTCGTTGTTCTGCTACTGAAAGTTTGAATGCCAACTGAGAGAGCTCGGAGCTTTTTATAGCCTGAGAAGGCAGAAGGAAGGGCCGATGACGTAGGCAAAGGGGCGCGCTATTTACTTGACACCGGGAGGAAAAAAAACACACGAACACACACATAACAACGCTAAAATAAAGCCATATATTTCTTAAACATTGTTTTTAAAACACTAACGCGTGATTATACAACGTATATCAGTGATTTGTTTGAAGTTGAAACGTAACATTTAGAAATATTTGTTAAACTCAGCCTCGAGAAATGGAATATTCCAGGGATCCCCGCTACGTCATTTCCCATATATGGTGCATCCTGTAAAAAAGGGGCGGGTCATGATGGGAAGTGGGCTACACCATGTGAGATTGGCGGACAGCGACATGACGTTATGTAAGACAACAAACACAGCGGCTGTTGTGAAAACCAAAGAACAAATGTAGACATCCTACACAGCAAAGTTCATCAAATATTAATTTGAACATTTATATTTGTCAAACAAACGCATTAAAAAAACGGCTGGTGTTTTTTAACATTCAATATGAACATTTTGTTAATATAATTATTAAAATAACCTCTATAGCAGAGCAGCAGTTTTTTTTTTTTAACGTCTCTTCAAATAGCCTTAAATGCATTTGTATAACTCAAAGGCATGACTCCATGCAAACCAAATTACGCAGAAATCCCTGAATGCAATGGTGAAACAGCAGATTTGGATCTCTGCAAAGAGATACCAAAACTAAAAGCTGTAGTTCAAGAACTTATACTCTACATCACCGTCACAAAACAAACAATTAAAACTAAGATGTGAAAGGATGTAAATTCTTAGATGGAATGCTTAGACCACTTTGCCAAAAACACAACACTAATTAAGTGGGCTATGTCTATGTAACTCTCCTTCCTGTAATTTTTTAGGGTAAGACTCATGATACTTATCCGAGTTTAAGTAAATGTGTTTATTTGAATGTGATAAAGGCAAATGCGTAATTTCAATCAAATTCAAAACAACTAGGCTATCTAAACGAAATGACAGGAACATCATACGAACATGTCAGAGCAGAAGTGATTGCGTGTGCTCTCCCCGCAGGCATGGCTTGTACATTGTGCGTGCAATCCTCTCAAGGGTGTGTTTGGCAGCAGAGCAAATTGATAACTGGTTTGGTGTGTGTACTTTTCCACAACAGCAGTTTACCTTTCTCAACGATTTCGTTACAGGCTTGATCATAAAGGTCTTCCCTACAACTGGTAAAGGGAATCCTCATGATTTACATAATGAGCTACATGATTCACTAAATGCCGCTATAGGCATGGAGCCAACATTTTGATTTTATTGCTCTTCAAATTAAGTGTTTAACTTAATTACTCTTCACAACTGATTTTCCTGTAGCTCTTAATAAATATGTAGGGCATTGAGTTCAGTTTTCTTAGTGAGCAATATTCTGCAGTTAACATTACTGTTGACTAAGCATTTATAGAAAGTAAAGAATGAGCAGACAGGATAGCTCTGGCCACAATATTAATATACACCATTTGCATTATTTTCCTCTTTCTTTGTATTCTTATTTGTCCTATTGGGGTTGTATCTTTGTTTGATTCATTGAATTGAATGGTATTGAATGTGAAGCACTTTGTGTCAGTGAAAGATGCATTATAAATAAAAGAGACTTACAATGTCCCTCTAAAACAGTGTAAAGGCTGGCTGAGTTGTAAGAGAAAGTTTGAATTACTGTTAACATAATAAAGGTACAAAGTGTTGATAATGTGTTTTGGTTTAATTGTGTCAAAGTGCATCAATGTAGGCTAAAGCAGTTTTGTTTCCCGCGCTCATGTTATGTTGAACATTCCTGGTTGTCCTAGCAACGCTCCACCCATTCGCGTCAGTGACGTGCTAATTTTGCATAGCAACAACGATCGTTTGTGTTGTCATGACGGCTCACTCAACAGAGTAAAACAGAAACCGGCTCTTAAGCAGTGTCTCATAACACACGTAGTAGCGCTCCTGGTTCCTGATATCAGCGTCAGAGTGAGAGCTCTGTCTGTGTTGAGGCTCTCAGACAGACAGCGGCGGAATGACAGAGGACTCCGACCAACCCGTTTACCTCCAGGACTGCTGGAGTAGTTTGTTTTACTGGTTGGCAAGAGCAGCAGCTTCCGATTAGCAATGCTGACCTAGACTTTGTGTTACCTTAAGAACAATGTTTAAGTTATTCAGAAATAAGAAGTATTGCCTTTAGAAATAAAAGATTGGTTTCCATATAGCCTAAGCAAGTATGTAGCCTATTGGTGACATAGCTACAAATAATCCCCAAACGTGTTCAAATTAAAAGAATAAGATTGCAGAAGCACATCTGGAAATAATGGATGAAGTTGTAGGCTATTAAAAAAGTTTGGGGAAAGAGTTGCAGTTACTCCAATACATTTTCCAACTGTATTTTTATTTATTATAAATATACCCCGTGCCTTTTCATTTGAGGACAAATTCCCTCACATGGCAGAAAAGGCATCATCCAGTAGCTAGCACAGTTAATGATCTATTTGCCTAATTAACATGACCTTTGAACGCTGATGTCACGGAGTCTATAAATACCCTCACGCATTCACGCTCAAGTTGCTATGATGAAAACAAGACTTTGAGCTCCGAGAGGTGTCTGGCGTGATGTCCGACCTTTGAACCCTTTCCAGTCTTCAGCCGCCGGCGAATGAATGGGCTCAAGCCGACCACCTAATGATGTGCCGGTAAACGAACCCAAAGGAGGCTGTGACTGCCGGGAAGCAGCCGGGAGCGCAGCCCGTCTCTGAACTTTGCAGAGAGGCCCCCTCTATTCACCAACTATCCCTTTCAGGGGATCTGTGAGGTCATGTGAAATCTAAATATAGCACTATACAATCCCTGTTGTTATAGGAGATTGTTTAAGCTGAGCGGGAATACGGTTTACATAATTGGTTTCGATAAATTGCATTAGGAAAAGAAACAGTGCACATTGCGAGGAAATCAGCCACAACTCAATTAGTTACATTTACAAAAACAGAGGTTTAATATGTTGTCATTCTCTGCAATAACAACCTAATGGTGTGTATTTATAAATGCATTATAGATTTGTTTTTTGCGTAAATGCAGTGTGGGCTATATTTATTTTGATATTAAACCGGTGGGTCAAGTGCAGTGGGCTTCCCTCGCCTCCATGTCCTAAATAGCACAATGACGCTTGTATCAGGTACAATGCATGACAAGACTTTTAGCGCTGTTTCACTTTCTTTGTGAGTGTGAGTGAGTGGGCCACACACAGCCACACGTCCGTCTGCGCGTTCTCCGTGCGCAACAGCGCGCCCCTTGCCTACCGGAAACACCATATATGGCTCGGTCGTTCCAATCGGCGATTGGCTGCTTCACTAAAGCGACAATTCTGTTGCTGGAGCTCTATTCATATGCAGAGACAGGTTGAGAAAAAAACAGGCAGTGTGATATATGGATCCACTTCATTTAGCAGTTCATAAATAATGAGCTGGTGTGCTGAAAGATGTGTGTGTTAATTTAATCATGCTGGGTTTTGTAATATTGTTCAAAAATAATGTGTTAGGACACCTTTGATAATGCACTGTATTTTGTATCAAGTGTTCTTATCTAACATAAAGGCAAATATTTTAAACTGTGTTTTATTGCAATCCCTTATCCTGCAAGAACAGTTGTGTTTCAATATAGGATTATTATACGGTGTACATATGTGGATATATAGAGGGAACATAATGTATATGATGCAGATGCTGCATACATAAAATGACGTAGGCCTATTCATTAATGGCGATAGGCACCTCATGCAGGCGGGGGTGTCACTTAATATAGGCTCGATATTTTTTGATACACGACTTCATAAAATAAGTAAAAATAAAAGGGCTGCTGAAGTTGTTGTTCAGACATTCCACGGATTTAATTGTTCAATTGTAAAAACATCTGCTCGCTTTTTTTCATATTCTCCTACCTCTCTCTATGTGCGATGGTTCGGTCTCACCACACAGATTTCATTCATAAAATTCCAGCTCACTATAAAAGGCAGGGCCTCTCCACTATCTGCACAGTTACCATTTATGAACGTGGCAAATGGGATACAGTTAGGGCTTAAGACGACTGTTTTTTACTTAGATCAGATAGACTAATCTATCTTTGTATGCAGTGATTTTTAGACGAGAACATGCATCCAGACTCCAACATTGAGTTCGACTCATCGTCCAGCTGTAGCACAGCATCGCCTGGCGGGGACACCCCTGGGTGCAGCCAGCATCCTCCTGACTCGCTTTCATCATCAGTGGACAGCGCAAAGGTAGACGCGGATCTGATCATTCACATTTTTGTATCCTCACTCATCTTGCAGGATCATTCATGCATATACGGCTAATTTAGGTTGCAAAAGTCGTTAAGGTACAGGATGTTCACACATATTCAAGAACATTTCATAGACAGCCTTTTTCTGTCCCGTGCTGAAAACGATTCTGTAGACAGTCAATCTATATTTTCTATAGGCCTAGGATATATGCAAAGACACCACACGAATGTGTATTCTTATTTGAAGGGAATTGTTTGTAATATGTTTACTTTGAAAAGACACGTTTTGTTCGTGACCTTTCATTTGAGTGATGATGATGGTGATGAAGAAAGCGAGTGATTAGGACGTGACGACAAGTCATGCATCTGATTTTGATAGATAGATAGATTTTATGTTTTGGCATCTCTTTGCCAAATGATTGATGTACCATTTAGACACATCTATAGGTCAGCCACGAGCGTGGTTCCTCACTCATCAGATAAGCTAGATTAGTGTTTGACTGCATGCATATGCCTTTCTGATGTGTGTTTTTCCAGGATACTGAGACCAGCGGAGCAGACTCCTTTGTTCCGACTGTGACTGCAATCTCAACCTCGCCGGGTCTCATGTGGATGGTGCAGCCGACAGTCATCACATCTGTCTCCCCATCGGCCGGCCGAGCAAAGACCAAAACTCACGGCTCGTCCAAGTCGTCTTCCCCGGCAGCTGCAAAAAAGACAAAGCCCTCCAACAGGAAAGGGCTGAAAGACAAGGTATAGAAAGCAGGGGGAGGGGCTACTGAAATGTGAGGTTACAGGTTAGCCAATAAATCAACCAAACGGTCAGTAAAATAATCCGTATCATATCCCTCCTCTCCCCTGACAGCATTTAATATGAAACATGTATTTATCGCGATATTTTTTAAATAACGTAAAACAGGAAAAAACATGTTTTAATTTGTTTCACTGTTAAAACGTAGTGAGAGTGCAAATGCATTACTGCGGGAATAGCAGGTGATTGGATAAAGTCTAATTGGTGCAGCGACTAATCACTCGGAGTAACGAGCACACAGCGCTGTTTATGAATGGGATGGGAAATTGCATAAAACTGCGCGTTCACGTCTTCGACTAGACCGTGCCAGTGGTGCAGCATTTTAACGCCTGAACTGGAGCAGCGTCTGCACCGAGCAGATCAGTATTCCCAGCATACACTGCAGCGAACATCTTTTTTCTTCCTCTTTTTGGCAAGTGAAATGGTGCTGGAGAGCCAACTGCTGATATGGCACACCTCAGCAGCAGGATGTCGATTAATAGGCTATTTCTCATTGATTCCAGGCGTCCAAAGAGGAGGAGGAAAGGAGGAGGATCAGGAGGGAGAGGAACAAAATTGCTGCAGCAAAGTGTCGTAACAGACGGAGGGAGCTGATAGACACTCTGCAAGCTGTAAGTATGCTGTTTTATGCCATCATATAGAGCACATCTGCACACCAGCTGAGGACATACAGCACTGCATGTCAGTAGTCATTAGGCAGGGATGAAAGCAGAGCAACCAAAGGCAGAAGCCATGACAACTAATTCTTCTGATTTGTTCCTCCTCCCCTCACCTCAGGAAACGGACAATCTCGAAGACGAGAAGTCTGCCCTCCAGACGGAGATAGCAGAGCTGATGAAGGAGAAGGAGAGACTGGAGCAAGTCTTGATCTCCCACCAACCATCCTGCAAGCTCCCTGCAAATGACAATGACGATGAAGATGATGAGGAGAAAGATAATGAAGATGATGTTGACACAATGCTGCAGGATCCTCCGGCTTCCCCACAGCTCCTGTCCATCTTAGAGGATGAAAAAAGCCCAGAGAGCACTGCAGCCGTAGAAGAAGCATCTATTGGCCAAGACATGGACAGTGTCCCTTGCATCCCTGCTGCAGCCATTTTGGGGAACTCCAACATCCTGCTGTGTTCGAGTGCAGAGGAGGAGGATCTGGAGGATTTAAGAGGAGATGACTTGGATGACTTGGTGCCCAGTCTGGAGATGGCAGAGACTACAGAGATGGCTGCATCCGTCCCTGACATTGACCTGAGCGGGCCCTTCGGCCTCTCAGACTGGGAAACGCTGTACAAGTCTGTGGCCAATGACCTTGAAACTTTGAGCTCTCCAGTCATGTCTTCCAGTCCCACTTGTAGCAATTACCGCTCAGTGTTCTCGTTTAATTACTCTGAGATTGATTCCTTCGCCAAGGGCTTCGAGAGCCTCAAAGGCAGCCTTGGTGCGTCTGAGTCGATGAAAGATAGTCTTAACTCTCCGACACTTCTGGCCTTGTGAATGCAAAACTAATTATGCAAAGTTCTAACCAGCCAGCAAGCTATGATATCTCCCTCGAAAAACAATGTTTTGTAGTGTGAGTTTTGATGTTGTGTAAAACTGAACATCAGAGGTTGTGTACATGACATGTTTAATGTGACTGTAACAGGGTTGACTTCCTCCATACTGCTGGTGCAATTCTCTGTGGTGAGACTTTGCGCTGGCAACAAAAATGCATGCAAATACAAGTCATCTGTAATCCAAGAAGAGGTGGTATCTTGTGTTTCTAAATGTGATGTGAAGTTAGATCATGTTTAATAGACTAATGTATGTGTAATGCTGTTGAAAAAGTTGTGTTGTAACAAGTGAAATAGCAGGGTTACTAATGTGTAGTGTGAAGGTGTCACATCTTGCTGTAAGGTGTCCCCTAACATGATATTTCCTTTCAAGTTTTTCCATCAAAAAAAGACCACTTCATGTATTTTATCGAGATGTATTTTATGACATAGTTTATTTTTTTACTTATCAAATATGATCAGATGCAAAAATTGTATAACGCTGGAATTAAAATATACCAATACCAATATCCTGCTTTTGTTATCATTCATGCAGTTTAAGGTAGCAGTCATTCAATTGTTTAAAGGGTTTTTCCAGAGCATTTAAAGGGTTTCTTGTCTTTAAAATGTCTAAAATGGTGATCAACTTGTCTCATAATCTGATGATAATAGTCTATGATTAAATGTTCAAAGAAACTGGTTCTTTATGGACCTTAGTGAAATGCTTTCTTGACTCAATTTATTATTTTGAACCTCAACTTTTTAAGCTTAGACAAGAACATCTAAAAAAAAAAGTACTAGAGAAAAAAAGGGAAATAGGAACATACATTGAATTTATTAAGCAAACTACATTGAGAAATATTCTCAATAGCTCCAGAACAGCTACTTAATGGACCTTGTGGCTGCTTTGTGACATTTCCAAGGTCGAGAATGAGCTCAGCCTCAGTTTATAAGCCAAGAGCAAAACAATTGATCCTGAGCATACATTTATATGATCACTGTTTAATTTCCATCTGCTCATAAAACAGATTTCAATTCAATGATATAATTTAGGCTACTTAATTGCGTCAAAAAGAGGGTCAAAATAGAACTGAGGAATATTAATACATTCAGCTGTGTCCATAAAGATGTCAGTAAATCTATTTTTGGATTCAGTGTTACATAAAGTACAACCACCGGGGATTGAATCGTGTTTAAAATGAGTGGGAGCAGCCGAAGCGGCAGGTTCATTATTTATTCATAGCTCGTTCTCAGCTACACTATTGTCACGGTCAAGGGAATCCGAATCATCTACAGCGGTGCAGTGCGTGCCACGCCTGACGTCAGCACGCACTTGTCATTCACGTTTCACTTCCGTTGACCATGTTTGGGTAATTGCAGTTGTTTTGTTTCCATGGTGAAGTGGTGTCATATTTCGGGGCCGCTCGGAGAGGGTTACCGGAAAAGCTCGAAGCAGGAGCGAGCAGAAGAGGAGACTTTCTCATCAATTAAAGAGCGGGCATCACGTGCATGGTGATAAGTCAGTGGTCTAATTAGTAATGTAACGCTGCCAAAGCTTTCTGGGAATAGCAAACAGGGCATTTAAAGACCACAGCCTGTGTTGATTCGTCCTCACGGTAGCAAAGCAATAACACCGCAGTGGATGCTTAATGTAACCACAGTCAGACCAAACCAGTAAGCCTTCATTTTATGAATGCATATCAGAAGGCATGGCAACATCTGCCATGTTTCCATGTCGTTGTTTTTGCCAAATGCAGTCTTTCTTTTTCATCAGTAGGGGGAGCTACAACTGTGGGCTTCTCTTGATTTTAGCAACATGCAACAAACTGGAAACATATTGGCCCTGAACAGACTTCCAAACCACATTAAAAATAGACATTGACAGAAAGCACAGGTCCTTTAATATCATGATATATACACATTTCAAAATCATGTGCATTCTTGTTTAAAATGACTTTAAATAACCATTGTGGGCACATTACTTTGTTATTGTAATAGATGTATCCTACTGACATTTTTTTGGGTTACACTTCTTTTAGAGTATACTGTATATATTTTTTTAATTGTGTTTATGCTGTTGTAACTTTACAAAATTACTTTTATTGCTTATCTATTAGTCACAGGTGTTGGTAGTCTGTTCAATTTATTTGTTATGTGCATATTATTGGATATCATTTGATCCATACTTGAACTCTTTGTTATTATAATAACATACACAGTTAGGTCACATGGAATTTGTACCAATACAAACTAATTGTGCTTTGGGAGAAGGTGTCATATGTCTGGCTAATAGAGCCTATTAAATGGATAATGTTTTAATTGTGTACGCAATAGTTGTGACCAACTATTTTAAAGCAATGATGGATGAGCCTGTTAACATCTGTGATACTGACTCACTCTTTGTTCACTTGTTCCAGCAAACTGTGTGTAAAAGAGTGCAGTGTCCTCCAATGCCTGTTTCAAAGCGTTTTATGAAATGTTCCTTACCACCTAAAGTGTATTCAAGTTGAGTGCTTTAAGTATATCTTGAAGCTTATTTTGGACATTCACTTAGTGAAATAACTTTACTTAGTATCTATTTTACGTTTACTGAAGTTAAAGATCTGAGCACTTCTTCCACAACTGTTTAGGTCATTGCAATTATTTTAATGTAGTATGTACATGCACAATGTATTTTTTAAGCAGAATTTAAAGGTGGGGTAGGTAAGTTTGAGAAACCGGCTCGAGATACACTTTTTGTTATATTCCATGGAATGCTCTTAACATCCCGATAGCAATGAATATCTGAAGTGCTTTCACAAAAAATCCATAAAAAAATGTCATCTGTGGAAGCCGTAGTACTGTAAAAAGCACGACCAATCATTTTAGCCGGCCCCGCTAAAATAACTGGATGGCCTACCTGCCTGTCAGCCTTCCATCTGTGCACAAACTTATCTCGTGCCCTCATTGGTTATGTGCGCGTTCGTGTATGTTGGAGGAGGGGCTCTGTAAGGAAGTGGCAGATTTGTTCCGGCTGTGTATTTTCAAAAGCGCACTCGAGCTGGTTTCTCCAAAATTACCTACCCCACCTTTAAATGTTGTAGAGGGCCAAGAGGGAGATTACAAAAAACTTGAAAAGTATAACTATGCGACATCTTTAGTAAACTCATTATGTTTTGTTGGCAAAAATCTGAATCTGCAAAGTAAACAGCATATCTTTCAAATAAATGTAATGGAGTATCGAAACAGGGTACATTCCTCTAAGAATAAATGTAATATAACTACAAAGTGGAATAAGATGAAAATATATTGCATGCAAACAAATGTACAAGTCTCATAATGATACTNCTGCTTGACTCAAGATCCACCAACCAATCGGATTGCGTAATGATTGGTTGCTTCTGTTTGCCCCACGATGAGGCGCATCATAGTGAAGACATCTCACGACATGTTACTTTCTGAAACTTGGGTTACGTAAGTAACCTATAGTTAAGAAGTTATCCCTCATCCATGATGTGGCTTTGTAGGGACTCACTTTTAGGTCAAATAGTTTCTTAGTTGAGTTCTTAACTTGGCTACAGTCAATAAGTTTATTTAGGTTGATTACCTGCAGACTTCATTGAAAATTTTTATTTGCCTATATTTAATCTAAACTGTGACCTTAGTGTCAGGTTGTGTCATCACTAATAAGTAAGAAATGTAAAAAAAAAAAGAATCCTTGGTAGCCTGATAGTAATGTGAAAAGGCAATAGCTAGAAATCAATGAAAGCACTCCTTTGAAACTTCCTCTGGTCAAGTTTCTGCATGGCCATACAATAATGTTTCCCCCTCAGAAAACATTGAATGTAAACATACTGTGCAAGTAAAACGAGTCACATTGACTTGATTTGACCCTTCAAACCGCTTTATTTCCAAACAAGGTCCTCGTAAACAAGAATATTTAAACAAAAGGTACAGCAGAAATACAACTGTTACTTCAAGTGGCATGCAAACAAAACCCAAAATGAGTTGCTTTGGTGTTAATAGAGGGTTTTCCCCCATCTGTTTTCCAACAATGAGATGGAAGTTTTTGCTCCTTTAACCATACGGTAGAATGAAGCATATTCAGCTCAGAAGGCCAGCCTCAAAGCCTTCCCCCTTTCAAAAACCCCCTTGCAATCCCTTTGTTGGGAAGTGAAAAGATGTGGCTGTCACAAATCTCTGAGGCTCCAAACCCACAGTGATTCCACACTAACGAGTCCACACAGAGTCTCTCTTTAAAAAATCATCTACAGTGTGCAATTCACCCCTGTCAGCAAAACAGTTCCCTGGATGCCGAAAGCTTATCCAAGTGAGAAGATTTTAAAGTCCCTGTTTTATAGTGTTTTTTCCTCATATATTAATAGGTCTCAGAAATATATACAAAAACATGTCTCTGAAAGTGTTTGGCTCCCAAACACCAACAGGATCATGCAGCATTACCCCATAATCCCCTCTGGTTTCACCCTGTTCCACAAAAGTGCTGATTCTCTGTCCTGTTACTTTAGATAAAATAAGGAGCCCTCCCCACGCCCTCGAAGGGATATTTGTTAAAAAAGAACACAATGTGCTCTAAAGGAGGGCAAATTTCAGGTGATAAGGGGGGTTACCTTGGTTGCTGATTGGCTAATGGTTACACAAGCCAAAACATCGTTATGACATCATAAAGTGGCCAAAATCTGATCAGCTCATTTTCAGACAGGTTTTTATATAAATGGATCAGGACAAAAAGAGAGAGAATCTTTGTTCCTGAAACTTTCAGAGTCTCTTTACACAGAGGGGACACATGTTGATGTAGAAGAGACATGAACAAGTGGTTTTTGCATAATAGGCGACCTTTAATGCTGCTGTTGCACAAAAAAATCTAGGACTTTATTTGACTCAAAATTGTGTCAATATTTGGACCAAAACTGTATTCAATGTCATTTTGTAAGATTTATTAGATGTTGTGTTTTCAAATGGTAATATCTTTCTTTCTTCTTCTTAAACAGTTGTCAATCCGGATTTGAACCCATATGTCACTCCAGAAAGCTGTTCTTGCTCCCCTTAAAAGTCCCTTCATGTAACTAATCTGAGGGTTATTTGTATATGCTCTTTTACCCAATCAGAAGTCTCTTTCTGTAGTTACCACAACCTAGGCTTCCTGGAGAAGTCTGGTATTGTGGTCATGTTGATTAGTG